TTAATTTTTTCATTTATGTAGTCCGTTGAACAGTCTTGTGGCTGTGGTGGACTAAGGTGAAATTTTGTACACTTGCCTGCTGTCTGGACTTGTATTTGTAACAAATATATGTGTTTGTGATGAACTTTTGTTGTTCAAACTTGCAAATATGGTGAAAAATTATTGTGTATTCAATTGCAACAACACTAAGCTGAAAACACCTCAACTTTCCTTCTATATGATATCCAGTCCTCCAGCTCTCCTTAATAGTAAGCATAAAGCAAACACTTGTGGAATTAGATTCCGAGTCTAAAATAGTCTTAAGACAATTTGTTGATATTTGTTTTAAAAACTAGTTCGACCTGGTACTTTACTTTTTAGTGCATGTTTTCTCACAAAAATAAGCTACTGAAAAGGAGAGAAAAGTGTTATGGTTGAAAGCTTCCAACCACGGAACACAGGAAGCAATAGGAAAGCTGTGGGGGTCAAAGTCCAACTATAAAAATGTGTGTTCAGCTCATTTTATATAATGTAAATGTTATCTTCCAATTTTTTTTAACACAAAGTAATTATTTACATCTGGGTTCTGCACACTGGGCCATTCTGTCGGGTTGTTGATCCAAGAGTTGGCAGGGTGCTGGTAAGGACAAGAATGAACCCCAATTAATTGTAACTTTACTTAATACCTCGCTAATGCCTCAGCCAACAACTTCTCCACATATTGATAACACATTGTAAATTTTAATTTGACTATCAAACAATAATATATGAAGGGGAATTGAATAATTTGAACAGCAGCTTCAGCAGTAACACATGCATACAGTAGACCTATATGAATTGCATAGACACAGCTGTATCCACTTCACTATTGTTTGCCCGTTTGTCAAGATGTCGATCACATTACCAGCCAAAATCACGACTGTGACGTCATCAAGAATTGCCAGTCTTATTGGTGTCAATAGCCACTTTGTAAAACACATTCATCTTATGATAAGAAAAGCTGAGAATCCAGTCATTTATCTAGTAACAACAATCATCCATTTGTCTATGCAACTACGCACATTGTTTTTGTGCCACTCATATTCGTTGTCATAGACATACAATGTTTTCACTTTCAAAGTTTTAGTTTCCATCAAACGTGTACAATTTACTTATTTCTCAGACAGCTTAAAAACTCATTCGAGTTTTCAAATTCAGATCACTTTTTTATACTTTCTTCTTCGATTCTCCCATTATTAAGCGGAATTATCTAATACTTATAATAATACTTGTGTGGAAATCAATTTATATGATAATTCTAAAGATCTTCCTCGCTAGGCTTAATAATAATAGTATTATTCTTAGTACTACTACTAGTATTTGTATTACGCAACAGATATAAAAATGATAATTCTGCAAATAAATGTTCAATAAATAATCTTTATTATAGTAATAGAGTCGCATTAAAATACTTACAATTCTAACTTTCCGCTCTTTTCCCAGTTCCTTTTTAAATCAATTTGACCTAATACTGACACAGCCATACCAACTAATAACTACAAACCGGCATAGGTAAAGAAAACGACATAAGAAGTTTGTGTGCGAGCGCTCCCTACACTGGGAAATAGTATGTTGTTGTTTTTTAACTTAGTTTTTTCAGAAAATATCAGCTCTTCTAAAAACTGGCAAAGAAGTATAATTCAAAAAATCCATGAGCAGTTAGTAAATTTATGTAACGAAAATAATAGAAAGACTTTATACCTGACTAGTATTCTTATTCGCAAATTATCAAAATTGTCGATCTGAAGATTTTAAAATATATAAATATAAATACAGTCATGAAGAGTTTTGAAACATTTCGAATTCATAAATGTGAGGGCTCATTTAGCGGTACATATCACAGATCTCCACTTTTACATATTTGATTTATATAGCAACTATAAATTATATTATATTAATTTTATGGAGGGCGTGCCTCTAGACCCCCCCCCTCCTCCCTAGATTGAGCTGCCTTTGGCAGCACAGAAGCTGCTTTTAGCAGCTCCTTATACTTTCAACCTCTCATTCTAAAATCTGCAGGTCTAGCCAAGTACCCCCACATTGCAACTCCTTCCTACACCACAGATTACAACAGTAAAAGTCAAATCCTACAATTCAGTCAGAAACAACTAGCCCAAATGTTGGTGGTGTCTGTTGTTGATTGGTCGCCTTCTTTCTAGGCTATTAGTTTAAAATTAGGTACAGATGTGCGCCGATAGCTCTTTGGTAACTTTTCATGATATTGCAAAACAAAGAAACTTTACGATTACTCTGTTTGCATGGCGTAAACAAACGACTCTAAGCCCATGCTTCGTAGTTCATTAGCAAAATGAAACACTGAACAATAACTATATAAACTAGCTAGCTAATTTGCACAGCAATAATATAGTACTTTCTAGGATATTATGAATCCTTTTGAACAATAAACTAGCTGGTTTGTACAATAATAATATCAAACTTTCTAAAGCATTGTGACTTCCTTCTGAACTAGCAAGTAGCTTTGTACTCGATAAAGCTGGTATAAGCTTACATCACATTTATATAACTTAAAGCTACTAGGGACTTTTGTTACTTATCACCTTGTCTGTTATTAGAGCTTATTTAAGTAGTTCATTCAGTGTGTATTACATTTACTTTAACTGTATGCTATTGTTACGTTTCTGGTCGTTAGTTAATTTTCCGTAAAAATTATTTCCGAAGAAACT